GCTCTTTATGATTCATTTTTCAAATTTTCACTTAAATATCAAAATCTCAATAGATTGATCGTGACAATTAGGGCCGTTAAAAAAGCTCGTTGTTTGTGAACAGCTCGTGTTCGGCTCCGTCGGTAAAGAAAAAAGACGCACACCCGAACACGAACAAATTTTTAAATCTCGAATTATAAATGAGCTGAACATGAACAACTCTTTGTTTTTCGTGTTCGGCTCGTTTTATCTCGAAATAAATAATTTATTATATAATAATATATTATTTATATAATAATATATTATATATTTAAATCTAAATTTAAATCATAACACTTTGTGTGGTAATTTGGTTAGTGTCTTCTTTGCATACATTTGGTTTATGTTAGAATTTAATATTTTACATCTATTTTCTCAATTTAATTTTAACAAGCCAATTTCGAGCCGAACATGAGCACAAATATTTCAATCGAGCCGTCGAGCCGAACACGAACACACTGTTCACGAGCCTATTTCGAACACGAGTCAATTTCAAACACGAGCAATTTCGAGCGAGCCGAACCTGAGCTCGCTCAAGCTCGACTCGTTAACAACCCTAGTGGCAATCCGGCACAACAAAAAAAATCAAATAGGTATTAATTTATAAATATCAAAATGTAATCATCCCTATAAATAAATTAAATAAAGATTTATTCAAGGAGAATAAAAAAAGGAATATACCAACCTAGAATCTGGTGAGCCATATCTCTGAACCGGAGCTGCCGGCGGCCGAGCAGAGCTTCCCTCTCCAGCACCAAAGAGATGAGATTATAAGAGTAGAACGTAACGGCGGCGGCCGTGAAAAGGAAAATAACTCCGGCGAACCACCCCAGCGCCGCCATGGCAAACGGCAAGCTTAGTAACGCCGGCGCAACAATCGACGTCGTTAGATGGTATCCACAGTGCAGCCATGATCCTGCGTAGAGAGAGAAAGATGATCAAAACACTAAATTTAAGAAAAAAAACACTTTTTTTAAACTAAAGTTGTTACCTTTGGATTTCAGGACAAAGAGGGCTCCGGCGTCGAGCTTTGGAGATTGAGAAGGGGCAGCTCCATTGTTGTTCTGGTTTTCTTCTTGCTTTTCGCTCTCTCCCATTTTCTCTCTTTCTCGAGAGGGACAGAGAGTTTTTGGGCAAATATAAATGCTGATTGAGGAGTGTATTGTAATGAATTCATTGATTGTGGGGTAGGTGTTGGTGAGCGATGGCTAATTTGACTTTGATACTTTCAATTTGGAAAGATTTACATATATATCATACAATTCTTATGTATTTACATATTTAACATCTAAAGATTCATTTTTATATTTATAACAGTTTAGAATCATAAAAGATTACATAATGTACTAAACTATGTATTTTATATTTATAAAATAAGTAATGGTGATATCTTTTTATATGATGTTATAGATCTAAGATTGGGCATGTAAATATAAAAGTTTATATGTTAAACATGTAAATATATAAGAATTGGGTGATATCTTTGTAAATGTTTATAATTTAAATATAATAAATAAGCAATTTATTTTTCATAAGCTTTCTCTTTAAGATGAATAATGAGTGATGTAACAAATCTTTGTTGGTTTGAAAAGGGTTTGGGAAGTGTAATTTTATTCTTTATTATTATTATTGCAAGGGAGAAAGATATTTTGACTATTTTTTATATTGAAAACATAATTTGTCTTATAATTGTGAGTGAGTGAAGTATAGTTTTAGTAAGGTAAAAAATTTTAAGAATAAGAGTTTATTTTTATTATTTTAGGAAAAACTTTGGTCTTCTAATTTAAAAGCAATCTTCAAGTATGGAGTTGTTATAAGTACTTTTGATGAAGTTGATATGGAAGTCTAAGTAAATGGGAGGTAAGAAGATAGGCGGTTGTTCTAGTTTAAGATTGTATGAGGTTTTTCTTAAAGAATGGATGAGCTTGGGTATTGGGAGAAGGAGATTGTGGGAGGGCGGAACACTGTTGAAGTATTGGTGTTGGTCGATCGGAGCTGGCCCTTCCTCTCTTCCCATAGCCAGTGCTTGCCATATGGCATCCAACAGTTGATCATCCAACTCCTGTATTTACTGGTTCACAAACTCTCAGGTGCACTCCATGTTGTAGGCCTTTATTATGGGTTTCTTCTTTGTGGGTTGCTCATTTTCTTGTGTGTGGCATGATCTACACTTACCTCACCTTTTGAGAATGTTGAATCATGATATATATGTGAATCACACAAAGGAATAGAGCTTAAGACATGAGATAAAGAGAGACAATGAGAGAAGTTCACAATAATGAATAATAAACAATATTCTTGATTAACCATTTCCCATAAAATGATTTATTTATTTATAGAAGAGATGATACAATACGTGAAAGTACATCTTTTGCATCTCTTTTTAATGAGGGTGTTACAAGATATTTTAGGTATTTTACATATATGGGCTTGCAACTCGACTGCCCTCTAATTCGGTCGACTGAAATCAGTACTCTTGGTTCGATAAGACCTACTCATTTGATTGTTCTGAATCGGGGTTGTCAGTTGACCTTTGATGATCTTCCATTTGATAGGACTCATCCCAATGAACTTGGCTTTCTTGATCGGCTATTCTAGTCAGACTATTGATTATTGTTCTTGGATGATGAGCTTCTGTCGACACGACGAGACTAGGTTATCGGGCATAGGGTGAATCATCGTAATCCGATAGAAAACTCATTTTTTTGACGAGGGTGCCATTCGGGATACTCGCGGGTTATGTTATTGCTAATTATTGGCTCATTGTGAGGAATCTCAAGGGCGTCCATGAGGTAGCTGGGGATACTGAACTCTTCCATTGACTCAAGTTGCGGCGATAGACAGTTCGATGCCTCCGAGGTGATATCTTTTTATATGATTTTATAGATTTAAGATTGGGCATATAAATATAAAAGTTTATATGTTAAATATGTAAATATATAAGAATTGGGTGATATCTATGTAAATGTTTATAATTTAAATATAATAAATAAGCAATTTATTTTTCATAAGCTTTCTCTTTAAGATGAATAATGAGTGATGTAACAAATCTTTGTTGGTTTGAAAAGGGTTTGGGAAGTGTAATTTTATTCTTTATTATTATTATTGCAAGGGAGAAAGATATTTTGACTATTTTTTATATTGAAAACATAATTTGTCTTATAATTGTGAGTGAGTGAAGTATAGTTTTAGTAAGGTAAAAAATTTTAAGAATAAGAGTTTATTTTTATTATTTTAGGAAAAACTTTGGTCTTCTAATTTAAAAGCAATCTTCAAGTATGGAGTTGTTATAAGTACTTTTGATGAAGTTGATATGGAAGTCTAAGTAAATGGGAGGTAAGAAGATAGGCGGTTGTTCTAGTTTAAGATTGTATGAGGTTTTTCTTAAAGAATGGATGAGCTTGGGTATTGGGAGAAGGAGATTGTGGGAGGGCGGAACACTGTTGAAGTATTGGTGTTGGTCGATCGGAGCTGGCCCTTCCTCTCTTCCCATAGCCAGTGCTTGTCATATGGCATCCAATAGTTGATCTTCCTACTCTTATATCTGTTGGGTAATGTGGAGACCTCGTCCACCGAATTTAATTAGCTTCCTAATTAAGAATCTCATATACCGCCCACCTACCTCCCACCTACCGCACTCCTGGTTTCTACCCACCACTCTCTTGCATCTTTGGCTTAAAGGAGATGCCAAGCCGCAAGCCAAGCAAAGCCAATAGAGGAAGAGAGAGAGAGAGGAAGGGAGAGAAGAAAATAGAAAATTTCTTGTAAACGTTGAGGTGTTCGACGGTGTAATTCCTCGAAGTAGTAAAATCCTCTACAGCTCCGTGGACGTAGGTAATTTTGTTAAACTACGTAAATCTGTGTGTCGCTCTGATGTTTTTTCTGTATGCAAATTTTCTCGTTCCATTTTTAGCTTTATTGCGTTGTTTTTTACAACAACTGGTATCAGATCTTGGGTTCGAATCCAAGGAAGAATGATGGGCGGAGACGAAATGATGATATTGGGGATCGAGAAGTTCAATGACACAGCTTTTGGTTACTGGAGGATGCAGATAGAGGAATACCCTATGGGAAGAAACTTTATCTCCCGTTACTGGGAAAGCGACCAGAAAATATAAACGAGGTGGAATGAAATATATTGGATCGATAAGTTCTAAGGGTTATACGATTAACCCTGTCGAGATCGGTTGCCCACAACGTCATCACGGAGAGGACTACTGCAGATCTCATGGTCGCTTTATCAGGTATGTATGAAAAGCCATCAGCGAATAACAAGGTGCATCTGATGAAAAAGTCATTCAACATAAAGAAGGCGGAAGGTGTGACTTTTTCTCAACACATAAATGATTTCAACACTATCACAAATCAGTTATCGTCTGTTGAAATTGATTTTGATGATGAGACACGTGCGCTGATATTATTGACAACATTATCAAATAGTTGGGAAGCCATGAGGATGGCAGTTAACAGTTTTGCAGGTAAATCTAAGCTGAAATATGATGATATTTGTGATTTGATTTTGGGAGGTGCGCGGGAAAGATTCTGGCGAGACCTCGGGTTCAATTTTGGCACTGATTGTTGATTCTAGAGGGAGATCACAAAATAGAAACTCAAACCATGAAAGATCAAAATCAAAGTCAGGTCATCAGACATCCTGTTGGAATTGTGGCAAGGCTGTCCACATAAAAAAGAACTGCAGGAATCCTAAGAAGAAGGAGAATGATGGTGTTAATGTTGTAATTGAAGAAATACTGGATGCACTATTTTGGGCTATTACAGTTTTGTTGATGATTGGATATTGGATTCAGGGGTTTCATTCCATAAATCTTCCCGTCGAGAGTTAATGTGAAATTATGTTACATGTAACTTTGGGAAGGTATATATGACTGATGGAAAAGCTCTAGACGTGGTGGGGATGAGAGACGTTGATATTGCACTCCATAGCAAGAGCAAATGGACTTTGCAAAAGGTCAGACACATTCCTGAGTTGAAGAAAAACATCATCTATGTTGGGTAGCTCAATGAGGGTGGTCATTCGGTAGTGTTCTCAGATAACACCTGGAAGGTTACCAGAGGAGCATTAGTAATGACTTGGGGTAAGAAAATTGACACACTATATACGACTACAGGTTTACTCAGGCGTGGACACATGAGTCAGAGGTGCATTATGGGGAAGCAGAAGAAGGTCCATTTTTTGAAAAGTGGCAGAGCGCCAAAAGTAGGAAAACCAGACATTGTACAGACAAATGGTGGAGAAATACATAATTATGAAGAAATCTTGCAAGATGAGAATTCGAGCAAGTGGGAGCTGACCAAGAAGGAGGAGGCGGATTCCCTACCGGGGAATCAGTCTTGGGAGCTGACAAAACTTCTACCGAGGAAGAAGACATTACACAACAAGTGGGTGTACCGAGTGAAGACTGCACTTGATGGCAGTAATGGCAGTAAGAGGTACAAAACTGGACTTGTTGAAAAGGGCTTTCAGCAGAGGCAGGATATTGCTCATGCAGTGGATGTTGTAAATAGATACATGCGTAACCCAGGAAAGAGCTTAGAAATAACTTGGTGATACAAGGCTACGTTGACGATGATATGTCAACTGAGGGTGTTACTCGTGAGAAACTGAAGTTGTGCTCGAATTCAGCTGGTCTTCTGACATAAAAAACCAGGGCTTTGAGTTGTAGAGGTGGAGGATATCATATTTGAGGAAAATGTCGGTGCAGTGCCTCAGTCTCCAAGTGGGAGAATTGTTGGGTAATGTGGAAACCCGGTCCACCTAATTTAATTAGCTTCCTAATTAAGAATCTCACCTATCGCTCACATACTTTCCCACCTATCGCTCACCTACCTCCCACTTACCGCTCTCCTGGTTTCTATAAATAGCCTCTTTTGACTTAAAGAAGATGTCAAGCCGCAAGCCAAGCAAAGCCAAGCAAGGTCAAGCCAAGTCCTCTTGAGAGCTAAGAGAAAGAGGGAAGAGAGAGAGAGAGGAAGGGAGAGAAGAAAATAGAGATTTTCTTGTAAACGTCGAGATGCTCGACGGTGTAATTCCTCGAAGTAGTAAAATCCTCTGCAGCTCTATAGACGTAGGCAATTT